CCTGGAACCACAACAGAAAACACATATCAAAGCCCTGCAACCTATGATTGCAACAGCCTAGCAACCACCCAGAACACCACAGCAACCACATAACAACACTATAGCAAGTTAGCAACCATCAAGAACACCATAGCAACCACTTAGCATAATCCTGGAACCACAATAAAAATCACATAACCAAATCCTAGAACTACAATAGCAGCTACATAGAAACACCCTAGCAACCACCCAGGACACCACAGCAACACCTTAGAAAACTATAGCAACCACATAGCAAAGCCCTTGAACTATGCTAGTAACCACCCAGAATACCATAGCAACCACATAGCAACACCCTACCAAGTTAGCAACCAACCAGAACACCATAGCAACCACATGGCAACACCCTAGCAACCACAGATATTAGCAAAGTCCTGGAACCACAATCTCAGCCACACAGCAAAGCAATGAAATCACGATAGAAACTCCCTATCTACCAGAAAAAAAACACCATAGTTACCACCCAAAACATTAATGTAACCACATAGAAACACCCTAACAACCACTCAGAACACTTTAGCAACAGCACATACTGATTTATTGTTTGATAAGTTAGTAAAAGCCTTGTCTGACCCATTTTCCACCACCTGTTTTATTTATTGCTGGACTGCATGTTATCCTTTTCCTCTCCCTGAAAATTCAGGTAGCACACAGATTTGAACCCCAAAACATGAATTATGAACCAGCTTGGCCTAAATGTATGGCACATTTTTAAAAAAAGGGGGATAAATAGGACCAAAACTCACAATCGTTGGCAATAAGAGAGCAAAGCAGGACCAAGCAAAAAGAGGTTATCTGAAGTTGCACTGTGTTGCTGATTTCATCAAAGCTCACGCAGCTGTGAGGAGGATGTGAATGATTTAATGGGTTATGACAGACACGTCTTCCTGTTAAGTCAAAGATGTCATCAGCTGCCCAATGCAGTTTTAGCACAGAGAAAATGATGACACTTCAGCATGGAAAAAGGCCTCAATGGATTAGATCAGTGGTTCTCAATTCCAGTCCTCGCGTACCACCACTCTGCATATTTTGCATGTCTCTCTTATTTGACACACCTGATTCTAATCACCAGCTCATTAGAAGAATGCATGAACTGCATTCCGATTGACATTGTCTCTACACAGTGTTCTTTTCTCCCTATTCCCTGAGCACGGGAAATCCCTTGAAGTTTACTTCACTTTGGAACGAACATTCATTCACGGATTTGCGCTACGCCACGGCCTGCAGCGTCTTCACACACAGACGAAACTTACTTGAGAAGTGTGAAGTGTGACAATATACTTCCGTAAATAAATACAATTTAAATTCACATCTCACACACTTTAATGCCCTTTGAATGGAACATGTACGCTCCCTTCAAAATGAAATCATGGCGGAATCTCCTGTAATGTCCACTTCGCAGGGCACTTACGGTCGAATAGAACAAACGTTTGAACTGAAGTGATAAGAGATACATACAAAATGTGCAGAGCGGTGGTACGCAAGGACTGGAAGTGAGAACCACTGGATTAGATAATAGATATGTGACAGAATAAACTGTATGGAAAAAATGTCAAAAAACATAATGTGTTCTTGCATTTATCATGTCAAAAGTACAGCTTAAAAGCGCTTTATTGACTATTATCACATTTTATTCTCAGACAGACAGTTGTGGAGAAATGTTTTAACCATTCATCATAAATACACTGAGAACAGACAGTTGCTGTAAAGCCACAAAACCACAATCAATAACTCTGGATATGGCTTGAGGTCTCTACTAGTATTGTATATCGGCCACCTGGATATCTTTTGGATTTGTCACAGCATTATGTTCTGCTTTTATAAATATACAAGACATTCTCTTTTTTAGACATTCAGACTATTGGTGCAGACTGAAGAAAAGAACATGGAACGCCACAGGCGCTATGACTATAATCTATAAAATATTAGCTGACCCCATGCTGCTTCAAGACGAGGGAGAATTAAATACAAGTCATGGGGAGCACTGATTCAGGTTATTTGTTTCAGGTTCATTTTTAATACATTCCTCAAGAGCCTCTAAGCATAAAACTGCCACTACTGAAACTAGAGAATATGGAGAGCTGGGTAGGGTTAAATGGAAAAAAGGTGAAGAAAATTAATACGCTTCTGAGCCCAGACTAATCTGACGACAAGACCCAAGCAATTTTATTTTTCTTGTAAAGGTTGAGGAAAAGGAGACCTCATAATTATATTCATAACTGCTGTAAAAGTTCATTGGGCAAGAGAATAAAAATAAAGGTCACACAGAAACCAACCTCAATTTCAGACTTGGTTATTTACTATGTTAAAGTATTGAAATATTGAAGTACACTCGAAGATTCGAGGAACCAAAATGGGTTATATTCTATGGCTTCGCTGTAAAAAAAAAATTTAAAAACTTTTTGAACCTTTATTTTTAAGAGTGTGGTGAATTTCAATGCATTTCTCCAAAACAACATAGCATCCATTCAACATGTATGATATTTCTCAGTGCAAAAGCAATAGGGATTTTTTTTTCTCTTGTGACAAAAACAATTGTCCATCCACAATGGCCTGGCTTGCACTGGTTGGATGGCAAACACTGTGGACAGATCATGAAGAATGGAATAGAGCGTGCATGAGGCAACGTCTGGGGACTCAGGCTGTATGAAGGAAGGCAAAGTGTGAGATTGTAAGGCAGCCATCCACAAATCTGTGAAAATCTGCCTTTGTTTTAACTGCTTGCTTTAGACTGAATTTAATTTGACATTATCTGAAAGGGTTTTTAAAAATTAATATCTATACAGCAGTATACAGTCTGCACCCACATGTAGCAAATAACAAAAAGACAGTTTGACCAGCGATTCCAAACATGAGCAAACACAACACAGACAGAAGCAATTACATAAGCATTCTGATAGTCAGTCAAAGAGCAAGACCACTCCAAGGGAGTAACAGACCGCCTACACAGCTTCAATAAATTCAAGAATGCCCTATTTATTTTACACACACAGTAGAGCTGTTTTGTAAATGAAAGCAAGGGATTTCTAGCATTAGAACACTATAATTATCTCTCATATTCATCATATCCTAAAAGCGCCTTTATTTGACCAGACAGTTTCCAATTACAGCTAAACCGACCACACAGGCTCAGAAAAAAAGTTTTAAAGAAATAGTTCTGATGTAGTTCCAAAGCCATAGCCATACGATTTTATTTTACATGTAACACAAAATTAGGTGTTCTGAAGAAATTTTATGTAGCTCTTTTTCATAACAGATTTTTTATATATATATATATATATATATATATATATACACACACATTTCTTATCATTATCAATGTTGAAAACAATCATATTTTTTGGAAACAAAAAGTCATTCTTTACAGTTTTAAAACCATTTGGATTTTTTTTTATATAAAACTGATCATTTCAAATATATTTATTAAATTATTCTTTCAAGCTGGACAGATACAGTGCTTTGACATGAACATTTTAAAGGTTAGCAGAAGCTGCGTCACACCACATACTCCAGCAGCACTCAATGATAAGAGAGCCTGGTGTGGTGATAAATGCAGATTCAGTATAGCATCTCTCCATGCCAAAACCAGATGAGCTGATACAAGCTCTACACAAAAAAGTGACTGTAGGTCCCGCACACAAAATACACAAACCCAACAGAGGGCAAACTCCAAAAGACATTAGGTGAAAGAGCCCCACTGATGTTGGCGCAGGCAGCCAGCCAGAGGAAACAACAAACAAGATGTAGAAGCAGGAGAGGTGTATGAAGGGGATGGAAAATATTTCCCTTTTTTTCTTTTTGTACTTTTTTAAAAATTCATTTTATATTTTGCCTCGAATAATTAGTAAAACAGAGCCACCGGCACGCCGTTTTCTGACAAGCTGTCAGTGAAGTCTGAGGGCATGACAGTAAAACAGCTGCAACTGTTCAGTCTCCAGAGACTGAGATTTCCATAGTAATAAAGAAGAGACTGGGCAGCCGGTACACAAGCCTGTTTTAGAAGAATTACATTTACATTTAGTCATTTAGCAGACACTTTTATCCAAAGCGACTTACAAATGAGGACAACAGAAGCAATCAAAACCAACAAAAGGACAATAATATGTAAGTGCCGTGACAAGTCTCAGTTAGCCTAACGCAGTACATGTAGCAAGGTTTTTTTATTATCATTATTGTAATAAATAAATAAATAAGTAGCCTAGATGGAATAGAAAAAGCATAGGGAACGCTAGTGTTAGAGGTTTTTTTTATATATATATAAATAAAACAAGTCAAAAGAATAGAGAATGCTAGTGTTAGAGGGTCATTTTTTAATAATAAATAATCAAATAAAAAATTGCGTATACACCTTTGTCTTGCTAAGGCCAATGTCATAGCTAGCAGTGTATTTATCCTAAATGCACACAATGTCACAACATTTTCCTATTTTAACAAATAGACCTTGACTGAAAATTACCCCCAAATAAAAAAAAATAAATAAAAAAAATCCTATTGACAAGTGATATTCAAACTGATTTTTCTTTTGTCTTCTTCGTTCATCATGTGTCTCTCAGGCATGCTCTTCAATGCAGTCCCTTGGTGTACAAACACTTACCCAAACTTTAGGGGAAAAAACATATTGATTGTGGTGAAGATACCACAACACAGTCGAAATTTTTGAAAAAAGTATATAAATAAATTTCATAATGTAAACAATGGCAGTTTGTGTTTACTTGCCTCTTTGCTTGGATTATCATAAGTTTTTTAAATGAATTAATTCGTTTTAGATGCATTTTCACAGTTTAAGACTTAAGTCTGGGTCTTGAAAAGGATAAAACAATATAATCTGTACGTATAAATTTGAATGTGTACATTTGAAAAGTAGCAAACTTAAATCACTTGTTCGGTCAAAGGAAGCGTTAGTTCCTTTACCTTTATTTTGAAATGTAATTGTGACTTTTATTTTGATACAATCCGGCTGTGACGTCACGTGGTTGTCGTAGCTGCTTCCATGCTTGAGTTGATGTAACAGGCGTGTGAATTGATAATTGTGCCGGTGTTTGAGATTCATTGATCGGATAAACGGCGATCAGACGGATCTGTTAGCAGACATGTCGTACTGCAAGCAGGAAGGTATGGCTGAACTAAGTCGGCTCGTTTAAACCCATTGTATACCCATCTTTCACTGTCGTTTAGCGGTGTAGCTAGTGCTCGTGCCCTTAAAGTCACTCTCACCAGCCATGCTTGGTAATATCAATGAGTTATTTAAATATTTATCTTGAGCTGCAAATAATCTTTTCAGATGTGGTCAAGTGTTATATTATCTTATATTGTTTATGTGTGGTGATGTTGATGAATTACTGAATTATTGGTGGAATTACGTTACAGATGAAAATTCGAGTTAACCAGAGTCAGCAAGCGCCCAATAAAACATGCATTTCAAGTGTAATGCAATACGTTTTCCATGACTCGTATGTCTGATTTATTTTGATGCAGTCATTCAGTAATCACAGCTATGTTGTGTCACCCTTCATGTAGCAGGTGCCTACAAGGTCATATAACCTGGGGCGTTCATAACCTCAGTCCACCAGATGCTTAATTTATTCATTATGAACACATTATGAGTTCTAGAAATATTATATAATATAATATGAACCTAAACACACAAAACTGCAATTGTTAGAATGTTAGATTTATTTAAATCCAACACAAAAAAAAAAGTAACATTTTCAAGAACTCATGAAACAGAACTTCTTGTGTACAGACCAAAGTGTTTTATTTAACCTTTAGCTGTTTGTGGATAGTTTTATAAAGTGTAAAGGTTTTTGATTACTCCAAAATTGCAGTCCAGTGTCTGTAAAATTTCAGCAAGTTCAGGTTTGTAAGACATTGAAGCGGTTGTTAGTATAATACCGTGTTATTATTTTAGTATTATTTGTTTACTAGTATAGTATTTATAAATAAATATATATTTAAATTTTTATATAATTTCTATCTTTTTTTGTTTAACAATTTAATCATTATTTAAGACTTTCTAACATTTGTAATAATTTTGTGATTTGCCATTTCTATTCATTTTTTTAATATTTCCTTTTAGCTTGAATTTATTAAATTTTATTGTTATTATTATTATCAGGCAGCTTTTTTTTTTTTTTTTAATTTTTCATCTAATATGTAATTTATTTATTTTCAGCTTTAATTCAGTTACCATAAATGTTTTTTCATATTTTTGTTTTTTAACAATAGTAACACTGGTATAGTGGTCAGTTAATATATGCTTTTCAGTGGCTGACTGTTTGATCCCCCCTAAAACTATTTGATAACATTGTGTATAACTTCCTTCGTGTCTCTCACTAGGTAAAGATCGCATCATATTTGTCACTAAGGAGGATCATGAAGCACCCAGTGATGCTGAGCTCATCGAAGATGATCCAAATGATCCGTATGAGGATCACGGTAAGTTTTTAATCTGATATGATTTATCTTGTGTCTAGGATACTCATTTTTACACTCATTTCTTTTAATCCTACAGGTCTTATTCTCCCTAATGGTGATATAAACTGGAACTGCCCGTGTTTGGGCGGTATGGCCAGTGGCCCTTGTGGACAACAGTTCAAAGACGCCTTTTCTTGTTTCCACTATAGCAAAGAGGAGGTAAAGGGTTCAGATTGTGTGGAAAACTTCCGGAGTATGCAGGAATGTATGCAGAAATACCCTGAGCTCTACCCTCATGAAGATGACAACGACAGCGCCCCCTCTGGCGGGGCAGATAATGCACCCACTGAATCCACTTCTGCTGACTCTCTCCCTACATCCTCTCCTGATTCCACACCAGCAGCCACAGAAAACCCAGCAGCTAGCTAATATTATTTTAGCTTCATTCCCTCCGCACCTCACAGCAGAGACTGCTCCACTTTCGAGTATGAAGAGATAATATCTTAACTACTACACCACTGGATCGATGCTCTCTACCTGACTGCATGATGCACAGAGATGCAGGAAGCCCTTAAACTTCAGGTTTTGTGATTAAAATATCCAATTGACATTAACATGCATTTGAGGGACCTATAAAAATGAGTTTTGAGGATCTATATGAGTGGCAGGTGAGTTTGCACTTGGCCTATGAAACATTAGCTGTCATTTGAAACGTCAGGCTTTGTATTTTTTGGTTATTATTTGCTCCACAGCCTAAGCTAAGCTTATTTGATTTGTGTACTACTAACAGCTAAGCAGTTTTGAGATACTCAACTAACAAGTCCATAAACATTTCATGTGCTCTTTTTGTTGTAGAACATGATTAAACAATTTTATAATAAAGAAATGTTCTGTTGCTGATGTGTTCGAATGCATGTAGCCCCAGGCTGCATACCAAGTATAAACATTAGGGGGTGTGAGAGAGTAAACTAGTAAGTAGCCTTACCTGTCAACTGATGATACATACATAATTTGTTGGTGTTAACTATTATAATGGTGAAACAACACATTATAAATGAGCAGATCTTCTGTTTAGTAAGAACATGCAAATATCTCTTGTTCCAAAGACTGGTAGGTTTTTTTCAAATGAAGTATCTTAACATCGAGGGCTGTTTCTAGATCCGTTTTCAACACATGCTAACATTAAACAGTGTTAAATTGTGCTGATATCAGATCCTTTTTGTAACTCTAAAATATTTTTAAGCTTATGTGGCTTATTTATATATATTCTATCAATGGCATTTACAAATCTAGCTTTTTATCACTGAATTACTTTGAGTTTGATTTGTCATTCAAAGCCTTAATGTGATTTTTCTTGTTTTGATTGAACAAGAAACCTAATGATCTTTTCATCTGTGATATATGTGTTTCTGAAAAAAGTTTTAATAAAATATAAGGTAATGAGTCCAAATCATGCATAAGCACTGGGAGAATTTGAATCAGTCAGTCTGTACCTTTTTTTTCACTTTACAATTGTGTGACACATTCAAATGCATTTTTAAAAACACTTGACTGAAATGTAGTAAGAGAAAAGGCAAATAAAATACAAAAGTGTGAATGAATCTCAAAAATGTCCTGCGGTCCTTTAGATTCACTGGCTTGCGCTTATCATTTGTCCATTCATATCTTCAAGTAATCTAAAAACTACAGAGGAATGAGTACAGAAACAGTTTTGATCAGTCTTATGAATGCCGTATCCATGTTGCGTCATGTCAACAGCCACCAAGATGACCAAAGTTGTGCTGTATGACAATTACAGTTATTTTAAGTGACTGTTCAGTGCACGTTGCCATGCAACTACTTCATGAATCTTGTTTCTGGTAATTACACACATTCCATTTCTGTTGTATCCGGCGGTCATGGTCCATTTAGGATCCAGCTGCCTGCTTTGGTACAATGGCATCATTTCCAGTGACTTGGGGCTTTCAAGTTTGGGCAGTGTTGTGATACTGTACATTTGGGTAAAGTCGTGCTCATAGGCAGCCCTGATGCAGTGCTTCTGTGACCTGAAAGCCCAGGATGGGGGTCCAGAGGACTACTAGACTCTGCATGGTGACCAGTAGCCGTCCTGCGTCAACATCTTCAGGACCTGCTAGTAGATAGTTCCCACCTAAATATGGAGACAAAACGGTTACTAATGGCAAACTTTACTGAATCAAAGCTGTGACCCAAATTGGTGTTGGGTGCTGTACCTGGGTTGAGAATGGGACAGGTGCAGCCACGGCTGGTCCAGGAGAGCGGGTAGAGACTGTGTGTTCCCTGAGAGAGGGGCAGTTTTCCCGAACGAAACACCTTCCTTACTTTCACCAGGACAACTGCGTGTGTGCCTTTATCATGAGCTGACAGCACACTGGCTTTGATCACTATGAACGCCACAAACTCATAAGATTTAAATGTTTAGACAGCAAATGACAACAGAATCGATTCATAGCAGGAAATGACACTAACAAAACCCTCACCATATGCCTGTTTTATCTTGCAAAGATCTGACACACTTTTCAGCTTCTTTTCCTTACAGCTGCACTTCCCTGTAAATAATTCACAAGAAACATTTCAAAGGTTCTGTACATATTAACGTAATTAATCTCACAAAAACACATCCTGGTCATAGAAATTGTGCAATAATTAAAATAAATAAAAGGAAGTGCATTTTTAGGATTAAGATTAAATTTTTACCCCAAATTGTCATTACTGCAATGAGTCTGAACATTTGATTGAGCTAAGATATATTTTATTACAATAAAAACAATGACTGTAACACAATGTTTCTTTTTATTTTAACAACAAATAGTACCATGATATATATTAATTGTTTATTCAAAATAAATGAATACTTTTACTTTGTAAGGATGCATTAAATCGATCAAAAGTGACGGCAAAGGCATTTATAATGTTACATAAGTTTTAAGTAAAGTTTTTTTGTTTTTTTTTTCAAATAAATGCTGTTCTTTTGAACTTCCTATTCAAAGCTGAACTTTAATGTTTTCAATGTTTCTTGAGCAGGAATAAATGGCATTTTATAATATATAAAAACAGCGAACATTTACTTTAAAATCACAATAATATTTCACAATATTACTGTTTACTCGATTCTTGATCAAATAAATAAAGCCTTGGTAAGCATAAGAGACCTCCTTCAAAAACATGAAAAAATCCTACCGACCTCAAACTTTTGAATGGTAGTGTTTAATCATATACTAATTTTTGCATTTTTTACAGTACTGTAAAGAGAATATTGTCATGAAAATAATGTCACGATGCAAAATGGTCCTGAAATTGGCTTCATTTTCCTTAAGTATTTATATTTTTTTTATTTTGATTTTGGGATGACCTGGGTTGTATTCCAGAAAGCAAGGTTAACTTACCCTCACAACTCAGAGTATATTCACGGTTAACACACAAGACGTTCTCAACAGAGTGAAGAATGGACGAGTCACCATGGAAACCGATGCTAAGAATTCTTCTTTCTTCTTCTTTTGTTCAATGGTCATTTACATGCTTAGTGCATATCGCCACCTAATTGATGGTTGTGCAATCACTTTTCAATTTTTTTTTCGTTTAATTTTTTAATCACTGAGAATAAGAATTATATTGTTTGTTTGATGTTAACTATATATAAAAAATATCACATATGTATTTTTACATTTGAAGGAACCACATAAAAAGCCACATCCTAAAGTCCAATTTCCTGCTGCAATTTCCCATGTTTCAAAATAGCCGCTGTTAGTGTGGAATGTTTCGTTACTGTAGTCAGCTCACCTGTATAGTACAGCGCAGAGATGGCCAGTTCTTTAGGCCACGCCCTCTCGTCCTCTTGAGGTTTAAAGTGGGACAGTTCAGGAATTTTCCCACCGATTGGTACATTGTAAAGCTTGACACTATCTTTGCTGTTAAAGAAAAATGATACGACAACAAAAATCAATGGTATTTCAAAATCTCCAACAGGTATCACAATCAACTTAAGTCATTAAAACCAGACATTTGGATTTAAAATGATCAATGCTCAGTGTTTTAGTTTCAAATCACAAATGGTAAATTTAGAAAGAATTGAAAATTTAGTCTGACCTGTCTAGGCAATGGCCTGTGATGGGATCACAGGTCAAAGAGCACACACAAGATTTGCAGCCCTCCTCTCCAAAACCCCAGTACCCTGCTAGACAGTGGCTGCAGGTGGTGCCGCCCACACCAGGTTTACAGTGGCACTGTCCACTTCTCGGATGGCACCATGGTGTCCCGTCACCGGAATGGACTAGCACCGAACCAACTGGGTCACACCAGCATCCTGCCATAGAAAAGATCTTTGGTCATTGGTTCATCAGCTCTTCCCACTGCTTTTGAGTCACTTTAGTGGATTGTGCCACACTGCCACCACTAGGAGGCAATAAAAGACTGTAAATGATTGCAAAGTAAACCATTTTGATACAAAAAGTGATTTTTACATTTTTTGAAGAAAATAAGGAGTGCTTAAGAATGCAGTTCTAAGTGGTTGCTAGGATATTGTTAAGGATAAGCGGGGTGACTTATTTTATTCTAAATTATATTTTTCTTATTTTGTCTCAAATGTTTATATTTTAAAATATATTTTTCCTATTTTCTCTTTTTTTATATTGTATTGTCCACCGGGTGAAATTAAAGTCTTTTTAACTACCATTTAAATTCTTATAAATCCTTATTTTTTTGCTTGGTTGGAACAGCAGCTACGCTAATTATGTCTCTATTTGTTTCTCTGTTTTTGCCTTTTACACAAGCTTCAGTCTGGATCCAGAACACCTGAGAAGAGATGATGCCAACCCCTCAGAGGACCTCAGATGATGCCAACCCTGAAACAACATACAGAACTACCACATTTTGCTATAAGTTTGATTGCATCATATAATAATTGCTGTTAATAGTGTTCATCGTCTGTTTGATTACGTCTTTAATTGATTTTTCCGTACATTTCTGCCATATGTACATTGACTGACAGTCACCACTGATAAGCTACCACTAAATATTGTAGAAACTTAATTTGCTGTAAAGTTGCTTTGCAATGATTTGTATCGTGAAAAGCGCTGTACAAATAAACTTGAATTGAATTGAATTTAAGCGTTACAGTAACGGTCTAGTTGCAGCTCCACTTTTAAAATTAGATATCCATCCAGCCCTACAACTATTTTCATAATTTCCATGATTCTTAATAGTGTTTCCTATTTTTTCCCCTCAAATTTTTATCTTCTTAAAATATATTTTTCCTATTTTTGATAATGTATTGTCCACCAGGTGAAAACTGTGACCCAAAAGTCATTTTAGAAAAACAAGAAGTTATATTTTGATTAAAGATTACAAATGTATCTTTAAAAAAATAGATAAATAAATAATAATAATTATAATAATAATGCACCAATAAATTGTTCACAATAAGACCAAGAATATGCTGTAATGAAGTAAAGTCAATTTTGGGTTCAGTTAGGAATAATTATTTGAGGGCAGAACCCTTTAAGATCTCGTTGTCCTTTTCTCTTTGTTCCTTCCTTTCTTTCTAATTGTCTTACGTATGCAAGCATGCGGGGAGTTGAGGGGTCTGGCAGGGTGGCGGTGGTATCCGGGGTGACAGCGCTGGCACCGGCGGCCCACAGTGTTATGCTGGCAGGTGTCGCAGACGCCCCCGCTACTGCCCCCTGTGGACAGCCACACTCGCTGGGAGAAGTGGCAGCTCTCTGCGTGGCCGTGACATTCACACTCTACGGACAGAAAGAGACAGTATGGATCAAAGAATCATCCTAAGAACTAATCTATCTATCTATCTATCTATCTATCTTTTCCATTACAAACTATTTTTTTTAACCAAACGGTTTCTGTATTTTTCCAGCAGTAAGTCCAGCAACTGACTATGGGACCAGCAACTGTTTGGTTAGCCACTTTCTTCAAAATATCTTATGTTCAACAGAAGAAAGAAACTCATTTTGGAACAACTTGAGTGTGAGTAAATTATGAAAGAATTTTCATTTTTGTGGATATGCCTGG